TCTACTATGTAGCCCTGGCTAACCTGATACTTTGTAGTCTAGGCTGGCCTGGAACTCACAGAGATCTGCCTGCCTGCCTTTGCCTCCTGAATGCTGAAATTAAAGCCATGCACCACCACTCCCAGGCAAAGATTTATTTCATTTCAAAATTATGTCTATGCATGTTTATATTTATGTACCAGTTTATGCCCTGTGGAGGCCAGGAGAGGGCATCCTGTACCCTGGAGCTGGAACTGCCTGTGGTTGTGAGCCACCATGTATGGGTGCTGGAAACTTATGAGCTTTTCTGTGCTGCTTTTCAGAGATGAGTTAAGAAGGCAGCCGTGAGGGCAGATGCACAGCTGCCCTTCTAGTACTCAGAAGGAAGAGCAGGAGGATGAGTAAGTCTGAAGCTGCCCTAGACTACAGTGTTGAGTCCCTGTCTCAGAAAATCAGAGAGAAAGGAGAGTGAGTCTAAGGGACTTTGTCCTTCCGTGGAGTGTGTCACCACCTCAGAAGCAGGAAATGTAGCCAGATTCACAGCTTCAAGATGTGTACATGAGTCCAGTTGGTGAATTTTAGACCTTCATAGCCAGTGGCTGAGTATTTTCCTTGAGCTATATCCTTCTCACCCTCTGTAGAAAACACTGCACTTGATGGCCTAGTCTGGCTGCTGCTTTAGCAGTGTGGCATTGTCCTGGCTGCCCTCCCTCGCCATTCCAGGTGCTCTCTTTAGTTCTTTTATTAGATGCGACTTATTTTTATAATTCAGCACATTTTAAAAATTCCTTTTTATTTAATGTGTACTGGTGTTTTGCCTGCATGTTTGCCTGTGTGAGGGTATCAGATCTTGGAGTTACAGACAGTTGTGAGCTGCCATATGGATGTTGGGAATTGAACCTGGGTCCTCTGGAAGAGCTGAGCCATCTAACTCCTGTAACTCTTATGTGACTTTATTTATTTATTTTTTTCTTTATAAGCAGGTACGAAATTTTTTTTCTTTCTTTCTTTTTGGTTTTTCGAGACAGGGTTTCTCTGTAGCTGTGGAGCTTGTCCTGGAATTAACTCTTGTAGATCAGGTTGGCCTTGAACTCACAGAGATCCGCCTGCTCCTGCCTCCTGGAGTGTTGGGATTAAAGGCGTGCACCACCATTGCCTGTCTGAAAATTTTCTTAATTTAGCCTTTGCTTTGAGTTTCCTTGACGTATTTACACTTAAAGAAAATCAGACAAAATCTGTTAATTTTGGAAATAAGAATGCAGCTCAGATTTGTTTGTTTGGAGACATTTCTCTGTGTAGCTCTGACTAGCCTTGGTCCTTCTGCCTCAGCCTCCTGGGTGCTGGGATTACAGGACTGTGTGCTGCTGTATCTGCCTAGTTCTAATATAATATATAGAAGAAGTGGTTTTATCTTCATTAACTGCTTTTGTGGTGGCAATTTTGGTATATTGGTATGTTTTATATCATGATACCACTTTTGCTACAACTTGTTATTATTTATTGTGTGTGTAAGACATGTGTGGGGTGTGTGTGGTAGTGTATGTGTGCCGTGGTTGTGTTTGGAGGTAGAGAGTAACAGGGAGGGCTGGTTACCATCCTCCTTTACGTGGGTTCTGGGAACACAACTCACATTGTCAAATGCATTTACCTGCTACATCATCTTGCTGGTCCCCATTATTATTATTTTTGAGACATCTTATCATGTAGCTCAGACTAACCTCAAATTTGCTATGTAGCCAAGGATAACCTGCAAGTTCTGATCATCCTACATCTGCTTCTCAAGTAATGAGGTTGTAACCATGAGTTACTAAGACCTTGAACCCAGGGCTTCAAGCATGCTATGCCAACTGAACTATATCCCCAGACCTGAAATTTATTGTTAGTAATAATCAAAAACTGTATTTCATAATCCTCAAAGCACCTTTGTCTCTGTAAAAAGTTTGATTAGGGCAAGCAACTTGGCCCAACAGGTAATGTCTGAGAACCTGAGTTTGATTCCTGGAATCCACCTAATTGTAGGTACAGAAAGCTGACTTCATGGAATTGTTTCCCCCCACAGAATAGATTTTTTTTTAAAAAAAAAAAAGCATCCTCCCCCCAAACCCTCAAATGAGCCTTAGTGTTATACCAGTGTCTATGTTAAAAAGTTTAAGGCTGCCTGTTATGCACCTTTAATACCAGCAATAGATGGTCATACCACCCTGATCTTGTCTGATCTAGGGCCTGGTTAGTACTTGGCCTGCAACTTGATATGTGGCTGAGTTTTATCCTTGAACTCTAGATCATCCTGCCTTTGCTTCTGGAGTGCTGGGATTATATGCATATGCTACCACCAGTTCTTTTATGTAGTGCAAAGGAGCCAGACGTGGTGCTTACATGGTGATATTCAGTTCGGTCAGGTGAATATGAACGAATAAATAGGAGATAGCAATATAGCTCAGTTGGTACAGGTTAGCCTCGCCTGTTTTATTGATAGCTCCTATTTATTCATTTATATTTTTCTCTCCTAATAGAACTTCACTATGTAAGCTGGCTATTTTACAATTTATGATTCTTGTTTTTATTTGTTTATTATGTATATAGTGTCCTGTGTGTATGCATGTCTGCAGGCCAGAAGAGGGCACCAGATCTCATAACAGATGGTTGTGAGACACCCTATTGTTGCTGGGAATTGAACTCAGGACCTCTGGAAGAGCAGCCAGTGCTCTTTTAACCTCTGAACCATCTCTCCAGCCTGATTCTTGTTTTTTTTAGTAGCATTTTGTTGTTGTTTTGAGACAGGATTTTATGTTGTAGCCCATACTGCTCTCAGACTGACTGTGTAATAGAGAATGACTGCAAATCCCTCAACCTCCTGCAACTGCCTCCAAGTACTGGAATAACAAGTCCCCTTTGTGCAGTGTTCTTGGCATCCATTGATGTCTTATTTGAAACTTTCATTAAAATTGGTGATTTCAAGATGTTAATTTTCAGATTTTCTCATTCCCCTTACATTTACTAGCTAGAATTGTTTTTATAGAATACCCCTTCTCTGTTTTGTTTTGGAGAGTACTATAGTGTTGATATTTTTCTTTTGTTTTCTTACTGTGTGTGTAGTATATGCATGTGTATGCAAGTGTATCTGTGAGAGACTGTGCCTAAAAATAACTAGTACCAATGGTTACCCAAGGTTTTCCTCTGGGCTTCCATACACATACGCATGTGTGTGTGTACAACTCCACCAAATACACACAAACACACACACATTGGTGCATACAGACACTATTTTCCTCCTAAAATCAATAATTTGTAGTTCCTAGTTGTCAGTGTTAAAAGTACTAACAGTATTGACTATTAAAAATAAAATAACATTTGGAGCTGAAGAGATGGTTTAGCAGTTAAGAGTGAGCACCCTTGTAAGACTACGCATAACAGCCTGTAACTCCAGCCCCAGGTGATTGAACTTAACAGTGAGACTGAGAGACACCAATAACACTCTTGTTCACATACACACATAATTAGAAATAAAATGAAAAACTCTTTAAAAGAACAATAAAATTTGGCCAAGAAAATAGTTCAGTAGGTAAAGGAACTTGTTGACATGTCCAATAACCTGTGTTTAGTCCCTGAAATTTACATGGTGGAAGGAAAGAGCCAACCAACTCTTCCAAGTTATTCTCTGTCTCCAAATATTGGTCATGCCAGGATGTGTGCCCCTATAAATACATAAACTGTAAACCTGGTTTAAGAATAAGAATAAATTATTCTCAGTTTCTAAGTTATTCTCTGAAGTTGGAGCTTCGGAGGGGGGATTCTCTGTTCTTTCGTCACTCACCATTGGGATTTCAGTACTCCCTGTACTTTGTCCTTCACTTGCCCCAGGCCTGGAGTTAATCCCTTGTGAAAGAACCCTGATTCTTCTAATGGGGAGTAGTTCCTCCACAGGGAGATTGCTTCTTATTCCTGACTGTCTGTTCGTACTGTTCTCATTTGATCAGCTCTTTTTTGTTTTGATGGGGTGAAGAGGGTGAATTGCAGAGCTGTGGGTTCCTAGGTGTACGTAAGCAATGAAGTATCCAAACTAAATTACTTCACAGGAGTAAGTGAATTCTAAACAACTCTGATGACTTGGGAAAGAGGGCTGGCCCTGTAGTGGGTTTTCCCTCCCCGTAAATGGCATTTGGTCATGGTGTTTTATAACAGCCACAGAAAAGTGACCAGTATACCCCTGTGTTGGTGGTGACATACAAAGGCAAAAACAAATTCTTACTCTTTTTCCGAGGCAGAGTTTCTTTGTATAGCTCTGGCTGTCCTGCGTTGAAGTTACAGATACCATTTTCTTTTAAGTTTTATTCTATTTTTATTCTATGTGTATGGGTGTTTCACTTACATGTATGTCTGCACCACTTGTGTGCCTTGGTACTGTGGAGGCCAGAAGAGAACATTAGATGGTTGTATGTTACCGTGTGGTTTCTGGGAATCAAATCTGGGTCCTCTGGAATAGCAGCCAGTGCTCTTAGCAGACATGGTCTCATGTAGCTTGTTTTGATCTGGAAGTTTCTTCCTGCCTCAGCCTCCCAAGTGTTGGGTGTGGGCCACAACACCTGACTCAGTATTTTATTTAACACGATTACTAACCTGTCAGTTGATTATAAGGCATGTGTATTTCTTCCCCTTCATGTGGTTGACTGTTAACATTATAAAAGAAATTAGCTGCCTGGCAACATAAAAACACAGATATTAAAATGAATTGCATATCTTCCAACTATTTCTCTTGCTTGGCTAAATTTAGAACTCTGTAGAGCCTCTGTAGAATTGAAATCTCTGAGGATTTTATAGTTAATAGACAGTGCTCAACTTTTCAGAGAAAGAAAGACTATAGGCGCCTTCAAAGTGATTCCTGTGCTGTCACCCGCATCACTTAACTAAGACACAGAGACCAGAAAGTCAGAACTGTTCCGAGAATTTCATTTCACTGCCATGTTTCTGAAAGCTTCCTAGGGCCTTGGCTCAATGTGGTAAAAGATTTTTTTCTTCTCCTCAGGTGAATCACCAGCGGCTACCACTGTCCTTCCTTGGGGTCGCAAAGTCCTACTTGATACAGGTACTTCACCTGGATGGATGAGCCAGCTTAACTGTGCTACAAGTCAGGTGAGCAGGACACTGGGGCCTTATGGGTAAATGATGATGCTTGCATTATTTTGTGAGCTTAGATTAAGGTTAATAGATAGTTCGAGCAGAAATTTTCTGTGTACACGTAGCTAGCTGTTGATGAAATGTGGAGATCTACATGTGCGCTATGTCAGCATAAGGCAGCTCTAAGGAGTGAGCACTTTGAGTAAACAATTGTAGTTAAATATAATTTAAAATAGAATACAGTATCACTTATAATAAATATGTTTAATGCATCATTTGGTAGTAGAAAAAGTAATTCTATTACTGCATAGTAAGAAATTCTGGGAATATTTGAAAGTATAAAAATTCATAAACTGAGGAGAAAGATTAATATAAATAGAATGTTGTGTTACTGAGATTCTAAATTTATACACGTGATGAAATGTAAAAAAAATTAAAAATAAGGTTTTTTTTTTACTCTTTTTTTCTTTTCTTTCTCTCTTTCTCTCTTTCTCTCTTTCTTTCTTTCTTTCTTTCTTTCTTTCTTTCTTTGTTTTGGTTTTTTGAGACAGGGTTTTTCTGTAGCTTTGGAGCCTGTACTGGAACTCTTTTTGTAAACCAGGCTGACCTTGAAGAGATCCGCCTGCCTCTGCCTCCTGAGTGCTGGGATTAAAGGTGTGCACCACCATTGGCTAGACCCTTTTTATTCTTTTAAAAGTTATTATGGGGCTGGAGAGATGGTTCATCGGTTGTGTGCACTGGTTGCTCTTCCAGAGGACTCATGTTCGATTCCCAGCACCCATATGGCAGATCACAACTGTCTAAAACTCCAGTTCTCAGGATCCAACACATTCACACAGGCAGACACACACAATTGCTTGCTGCTCCAGAAGACCCAGGTTTCATTCCTAGCACTCAGTGGTTGCTCACAATAGTTTATAACTCTGGTTCCTGGGGATATGATTCCTTCAGGTCCCTGCAGGCAGTGCATGGACATGGTGTATAGGCGCACATGCAGGCAAAACATAAATATATATGAAAAAGAATAAATTATTTTGGAAAAAAAAAGAGGTACAAATATAAAACAAACCAGAACTCTATAATGGACAATAAGGAACTTTGACTTATGTGTTATATTTATCAAGTTTATTAAGGATTAAAACTGAGTGAACAATTTAAATATTCATCAAATACAACAATATATTCCTTATATTTTGATAATATCTATAACTTTGTGTGTACATGTATGCATAAGGATGCGTGTACCTGTGCATGCAAATCTGGAGGAGGCCAGAGGTCAACATTGAGTGTTCTCTATTCTACCTTTTTGCTTTTAGGATTTGTTTTATTTATGTGTCTGTGTGTGCTCATGAAAACATGCATGTAGGTACTTGAGGAGACTAGAAGAGGGGCTGATTCCCTTGGAGCTGGCATATATACTCTTATGAGCCACCTGATGTGGGGTTTTTTGTTTTTTTTTTTAAGATTTATTTATTCATTGTGTATACAGTGTTCTGCAGGCCAGAAGAGGGCACCAGATGTTACTACAGATGGTTGTGAGCCACCATGTGGTTGCTGGGAATTGAACTCAGAAAGCAGTGCTCTTAACAGCAGGCAGTGCTCTTAACGGCTGAGCCATCTCTCCAGCCCCCCTGATGTGGGGTTTAAGAGTCAAACTTGAGTTCTCTGCAAGAGTAACAAGCATTCTTTCCCCCCCCCCAGACTTTATTTTATGTGCATTCATGTGAGGGTGTCAGATTGCGTGGAATTGGAGTTACAGACAGTTGTGAGCTGCTGTATGGGTGCTGGGAATTGAACCTGGGTCCTTTGAAGAGCAACTAGTGCTCTTAACCACTGAATCATCTCTCCAGCTCCAAGAGTAACAAACATTCTTAATGGCTGAGCCACCTCTCCAACTCCCATCTGCCCGTTCTATTTTTAAAATTATTTATATTGTTTTCCACATTTTTTTTTTTGAGGCAGCGTCTCACTGAGTGTGGAGCTCACTGTTTCAACTATAAGGCTAGCAAGTGCCCAGTGTCTGCCTGTCTCTGAATTGCTGACTCCAGTATTGAAATTTAGATATGTATGACTGTGCCTGTATTATATGTCTGAACTCATATACTCATGTTTGTACAGTAGCTATTTTACCCACTGAGGTACCTCTCCAGTTCCAAAAATCATAAAGCAACTTTCAAAGCAGTTCACTGAAAAAGGCAGGCATTATTATTATTATTTATTTTGGTACTAAGAATCAAATTTAGAGACATGTACTAGGGAAGCACTACCATTGAACTGTATTCCTACCCTTGTTTTACATTTTTTGAAATCTATAATATATAACTTAATAGAAAACAGATTCTTTTGTTGAAGTCTATGATGAAAATCCAGCCCCAAAGACATAGTTGAAAGAAGTTGTGTTTTAGTACCTCCTTCATTTATTATGGACGTTTTTCCTTGATGCTATGCCTGGTATAGTGTAGTGGATAAATGGTACTTCTCTGCTCCCTCCCTCAGCCTTCTCCCTTTCCTTCTCCCCTCCTGAGTTTTTGTGAGACAAGGTTCTGCCGTCTGGTTCATGTTGGCCTTAGACTCCTGTACTGCTTACACTTAAGATCGTCCTCCTTTGGCCTCTGTAGTGTTGGGGTTATGGGCATGTGCCTGAGGGTGCATTGTTGAGTCTGAAAGCATTAGTGGAGTTTTGTCCTTGGTGTCATTAAAATTTATTCATACGTTTGGGAATGTAGTTCTATAGGTACACGGTTCTAGCTTCAATCTAGGTACTATATTTGGTAAACTGAATAGATCTTTACCCATGAATGAGTTGGAAATATTATGAATTGGTCGGCTGACAACTTTTTCCTTTTGAGACAAAGTCTCACTGTATATCCTTGTCTGACCTGGAATTCTCTGTGTAGATCAGGTTGGCTTCAGACTCACAGAGATCTGCCTGCCTCTCTTCCCCAAGTGCTGGGATTAGAAGTGTGCACCAACACCACTGGCCCAGATTGACAAGTATTGATTCACTGAATGATGCAGCCCTTCCAAATGTTTGACCCAGTTCATATGTGAGTATATATGTGATGTAGAAAAGTGTGTGTGTGTGTGTGTGTGTGTGTGTGTGTGTGTGTGTAGCAGAAGTATTTTATATTTACTATTCTGTCAAGAAGAGCAGTAAAGACATAAATGTGAGCTGGAGAGATAGGTCAGGAGTTAAGAGCACTTGTTCTAACCAGGTGGTGGTAGTGCACACTTTTAATCCCAGCATTTGGGAGGCAGAGGCGGGTGGATCTGAGTTTGAGGCCAGCCTGGTCTACAGAGCAAGTTCCAGGACAGCTAGGACTACACAGAGAAGCCCTGTCTCAAAAAACCAAACCAAACAAAACAAAAACAACAACTGTAGAACACTCGTTCTTGCAGAGTATCAGGATTTCATTCCCAGTGCCCACATGAAAGTTGGCAAGTGTCCATAAGTTCCACAGAGTCCAGCACCCTCTTCTGATTTCTGCAAGTACCAGGCATAACACTCACAGACATATGCACAAGCAAAACACTCATACATTAAATAAATAAAGCATTTTTTTAAAAAGGCATGAATATGTTTGATGTGATTTGATGGTTTATGCCGATAATCCCAGTGCTTGGGAGGCTGAGGCAGGAAGATTTGCTTGGGCTATAGAGTAGGACACTGACTAAAGCAGCGGGAAGACGGGGACAGTACATGAACTGAAGGACAGAAATTATAGTCAACTTTCTTAGCTGTGAGCTCCACATTTGTGGTTTCAGCCAAATACAGTTAAACATATTCAGGAAAGAGGCCAGGTAGAGCACACCTTCAATCCCAGCACTGGGATTGAAGAGGCAGGTGGAAATCTCTGTGGATTTGCTAGCCTGGTTCTATACACAAGAGTTTCAGGCTAACCAAAGCTACATGATGAGACACTGACTGTTAAAAAAAAAAAAAAATCGGGGCTGGAGAGATGGCTCAGTGGTTAAGAACACTGACTGCTCTTCCAGAGGTCCTGAGTTCAATTCCCAGCAACCACATGGTGGCTCACAGCCATCTATAATGAGAGCTGGTGCCCTCTTCTGGCATGTAAGCATCATGGAAGGAATGTTGTATACATAATAAATAAATAAATCTTTAAAAAAAAATCAGAAAAATAACTGCAGCTGTATGAAACATGTATAGACATTCCCCCTCATTATCTTGTAATCAATATAGTATAACTGTAGCATGAATTCTAATTGGTCTTAATAATAAAAAAAAATCTGACCAGAGTCAGATAAGGGGTTAATGCTGAAGGATCAGACAAGCAAAGCAGCCAGCCACTAGAGAGACCTTTTACCTCTACCAATGCTCAGACCAAAGGGGAGATCCTGTCCTCAGACTGTTTCCTCAGAGTGCAACTGTCTCCACCAAACTTCAGACTGCACTACCTCCCGTCTACTTGTGCCTTATATTTCTCTCTCTGCCCAGCCATATCACTTCTTTCTCCACCTCCGTAGTGTTGGAATTAAAGGAACGGGATCTCAAGTGCTGGGATCACCTTTGTGTGAGCTCTGTTTCTCTTTTAGACAGATTCAATCTCGTGTAGCTCATGGTGGCCTTAAACTAACAAAGATCACTCTGCTTCTGTCTTTTGAGTCCTGGGATTAAAGGTGTGCGCCACTACTCCCTGGCCTCTAGTGTCTTAGCTCTGCACTCTGATCTTCAGGCAAACTTTATTTGTTAAAACATAAACAGAATATCCCTACATATTACAACTGTCTACGTAGTATTAGGTATAACGTAGAAATGACTGTGGTATCTAGGTATGCTGAGTGTGCTGGTGCATATATATCCCAGCATTTAGAAGACTGAACATTCAGGAGAATGTGAAGCTGCCTTTGTTGGGGCTTCTATTGCTGTGAAGAGACACCATAACCACAAAACCTTTTACAAAGGAAGACATTTAATGGGGTGACTTACAGTTTCAGAGGTTTAGTCCATTGTCGTCATGGTGGGTGATGATGGCGTACAGGCAGACATGGTCCTAGAGAAGGAGCTGAGAGTGGAGAAGGAGCTATATCTTGTTCCCGCAGGCAAGGAAGTGATCTGTCTCACTGGGTGTAGCTTATGTGTAGACCTCACAGTGACACATTTCTCCCAGGCCACCCCTCCTTTAGTGCCACTCCCTTTGTGGACTGTGTTCTTTCAAACTACCAGAGAAGCCAGTCTGAGTTCTATAACAAGACCCTAAGTTTTCACCCCCTCCCCAGTACAGATACACAGAGCATATGCAAATATACCACTTACTGAGTGTATTGAGGTTTGATTATCTGTAGGAGCTAGAAGAGTTGATGTGGAGGATGGGGATATCGAGAAGTGACTATAATATTATTAATTTTTACTATTTCACTATGGGCATTCTTTTTTATTTTTAATATCAGTTGTGCTAGGACTTGAACTGAGAACCTTCTATATCATATCAAGTACTTTACCACCAACTATCCTGATTTAATTTTTATTTCTTAGACATTCTAGTGAGAGATTCTAGTTTTTTTAGGTTGAAAGTATAAAGACGTAAAAATACTACTAATAATTTTTGTCTTTTTTAAGACAAGGTCTCATGTAGCCCAGTCTGTCTCTGGATTTATTATATATAGCTGAGAATTATGTATTATATCTTGAACTTCTTTCTAATTCTCCTACTTCCACATCTGTGTCCCCAGTGCTGGAATGGCAGGCATGTCCCCACCACAGAGGTGTCTGTTTCCCTAGTGCCGGAATGGCAGGCATGCCCCACCACACCAGGCTTTGTGAGTGCTAAGAAAGCACTCTGCCTGCTGAGCTAATGCCATACCTTTGCTATTGGTCTCGTTATGTAGCCCAGGCTGACCTTGAGATAACCTCCTGCTTTCAACTCCAGTGCTTGAATTACAGGGATGTGTGGCCATGGCTGTTTTTGTTTTGTTTTTGAGGTGTAGCAAATGGTTTGCCACTGAGCTCCTTCCCCAGCTCTACTGTTAGATTTTGATTAGTGTTCCTACCTTGACAAAATTAAAAATAGAAGGAGAGCTGGTGAAATATTTCAATAGGAGTCTGGAGACATAGTTCAGCAATTCAAGAACATTTGTTGCTCTTCCCAGGCACCTGACACACACATGGTGCACATACATACATGCAGGAAAACACACATGCATAAAATAAATGAACCTGAAACCAAAATGCTTAAGTGGTAAAGAGCTTATGCAACATGCACAAGCCTTGGTTTCAAGCCCCAACACTACCAAGACAGTAAGTGCAAATACCATCTTAGTCTTCCTGTGAAACTGCTTTACTTCGTAAGTCTCCTGAGACCTCAATTTTTTTCCAAAATGTTCCAGATAGAGGATGTGTTATATATTCAGAGATATTGAGGTGAGATAAAAAGCAGAGATCTGCCTGTCTCTGCCCAGGTGATGGGATAAAAGGTGCGTGCCACTATTTCTGGCATAAAAGTGTAGTGCTAAAGTTGACCACACAGGGTTGGAGAGACAGCTCAGAGGTTAAGAGCACTGACTGCGCTTCCAGAGGTCCTGAGTTCAATTCCCAGCAACCACATGGTGACTCACAGCCATCTATAATGAGGTCTAGTGCCCTCTTCTGTCCTGCAAGCATACAGACAGACAGAATACTGTATACATAATAAGTAAATCTTTAGAAAAAAAAAGTTGGCCACACATAGCTTATTTCTAAACTCATGGTTAGAAACTCATCATGAGAAAAAAGTTAGAGGTGAGATCACAAAAGCAACTTGCTGAGCAGTGTACAAATATTCTCTGGCTAGTGAAAAATCAATGAATGATTTTATTCACTTACTTACTTTTGGTTTTTTGAGACAGATTTTCTTTGTGAAGTCCTGGCTGTCCTGGAACTCAGTCTGTAGACCACATAGGCCTCGAACTCACAGTGATCCACCTGCCTCAGCCTCCTGAGTGCTGGGATTAAAGGCTTGCGCCACCACTGCCTGGCATAGTTTCACCTGCTTTTAAATTTCATGTTAATAGAACCAGATATCCTGTTTTGTTGTAGTTTTTCAACATTGTCTTTGATATTAATATAGTTACATATAGCAATGGTGTTTTCTTTATCATTGCTTTATAATAGTATATTGTGTATCCATGCCTTTTTTTTTCTATATAGTTGTTGGTTTCTAGTTTGGATTATTATGAACAATATTATTAGGATTATTGTTGTACATGTTGTATAACATTCTTGTTTTGTGAGCCAGTCACTTCCAATGGTTATCTATACCTTGGAATGTTGTTAGGTTATAGTCTGTATGTATATTTAGCATTAGTAAGTATTGTCAGTTTTCCAAAATGATTTTATTAATTTATTCTTCATCAGTAAAGCTATGAATGTTCTGAATGTACACAATCTTAAGAGTTATTCATTTGTTATGTATACAACATTCCTTCCATGTATGCCTGCAGGCCAGAAGAGGGCACCAGATCTCATTATAGATGGCTATGAGCCACCATGTGGTTACTGGGAATTGAACTCAGGACCTCTGGAAGCGCAGTCAGTGCTCTTAACCTCTGAGCTGTCTCTCCAACCCAAAATTATATATATTTTTAAGATAGGATCTTTCTGGGATTACAGGCATATGACATCATGCTGAGGTACTCTCCCTGCTCACCTTTCTTTTTATAGTTATTGTTGGAATAAAGCATTTTGGGTCAAAGGATGAAGGATTTTTCCGTGATTTCTTAACATGGCCAGGAATTGATGTTTTGACTGTGAAACTGTTTTCCAGTTCACCACCATAACACATCACCTGTTCCCCAGTTTACCCTATGCCACATTGGTAATTACTCATGTTAACACTTTGGTCTTTTTATGGGCTCTCTTCTAGCTTTTCTATGACTAATCATTCATTTGGAGTTGCTAATTATGGGCCTGAAGTAACTTTTTTGGGGTGATGGTCAAGTTTCCAAGTAAAGGCATAGAAGGAAGACCCAGTAGCAGAAGAAGGTGTACCTAGGCTGTAACTGTCTTGAGCAGACAGTAGGTTTGTTTGTTTGTTTTGTTTTGTTTTTT